TTTTTTTTTTTTTTTTTTTTACAAAAAAAATTATTTGTTTTTTTTAAGGGGGTTTTGGGGGGGGGGGGGGAGGAGAAAATGTACAATTATTCTTGTGTTTAATCGGATTCTTTTCTTCTGCAGTGTTAACTGTTATTTAAAGATTGTAGCTACTTCTATTCCTTTCTGCCTACTACCCTATTTCTCATTAAGTGAATCTAGATTTTTTAAAACAAAGTTTAAATTTGTATTTAAAAAAGTTTTGAATACCATTTGTTAACCATATATCATGCCACTTAATTAAGTGAAAATATCTTGTTTAGTTTGCTGAGATTTAAATCTAGCTAAGTCTAAAATAAGGACCAAATGAAAATTTCTCATTCAGTTAAATGCAGTTGAGAGTCAAAACAAGAAGGTCACTATTCTGAGGTCCTCCCACTTCAGGTACAGCCATACCCTCTTGACCTCTTCCAGTGGCTTCCCGTGAGAGAGTTGAACCCCTGGACACTGCATATTGGGGTGCCTGAAGGCTGGTTCAAGCTCACAAATGGTGGCGCTCATCTCACAGAGAATGTCTACTTTATCAACATCTACAGACTCAAATGCCTCCCAGATATCCCTATTCACTCTTCAGAATCTGTCCAGTTGGCTTCTAACTCTAAGCAAATGTGAATAATTTTATCTGCCAAATGCCTTGCTAAAAAGTTGCAGCAGCCCTCTAGTGGTTCTTCCAGCTTATTCTTCCCTGTCCTGGTCACTCTAAAAAAGGGTTGCTGAATAGCATTCATGGATAAGTGCAGAGAAGTTATGATGTAACAGAGCTACCCTCTGAAAACCCATGGGATCCATCAAGTGCTTAGGGTGGACCACTCTAACTGGTCTTCCCTCTCTGCAGAGATTGGTGGTGCCAGTTAACCCCATGGGTGATCAGTCCACAACAGTGGACTGATTTCAATGTCCTCCACTTCTGAGTTGCTCTGGAACATAAACTAGATCCAGGGTGTGGCCTCCTCTGTGTGTAGGGCCTATGATGACCTCGAATAGGCCTGTGATTGTCATAGCAACAATGAAATCTCAAGCCACCTGGCTCCATCGTCCCCAGGGAAGGAAGACTGAAATCATCAAGTACTAACAGCCTGGGAGACTCAACCACCAACCCACCATAATATGTTTCATTTGAGAATCCTGAAATCTCATGAGATTTTGGCATTTCTGTATGAAATCCCATATTAATGCTAGTGCCCAAACCATTGCACAAGGTCAGACCCATATACCAACAGTAGTATAAATTATTGTATTATATTAATGTATTATAATAGTGTGAAATGTTATAATTTAAATGCTATATGGACACAACGTGCATTAATATCATCTTGGTGCACCTAGCACCTGAAAGTTTTTTCTTTCATATGCTTTACTGTAAATTCTCATTCTCATTATTATTATGAATTTTAATTTATTATAGCTACCCAACTCCAGTGGGCTCTGGTTAGCGTACAAAACCCAAAAAAATCCATAAAAACAGATAAATCCTAAAACCACACAGGCAGCCCAGTATAAAACAATCTAAAAATGACATAAATCAAACAAAACAAAACAAAACAGGCCCCCTGAAAATACAAGAACACATTAAGCACAGGCCTGGGGCCAAAGCTAGGTTTTAAGAGCTTTCTGGAACCCGAGGAGAGAGGGCGTTGTCCTTATCTCCAGGAGAATGCATTTACAATTGTTTAAAACAACAGCAGCAAAAAGAGAGCTAGTTTGGTGTAGTGGTTAAAGGCACTGGGCTAGAAACTAGGAGTTCTAGTCCTGCCTTAGATGCAAAGGCAGCTGGGTGACCTTGGGCCAGTCAGTTTCTCTCAGTCCTAGGAAGCAGGCAAGGGCAAACCACTTATGTTGCCAAGACAACTTGCAGGGACTTGTCCAGACCGTTGCTAGAAATCAAGATAAATTTGGGCACACCCAGACCCACGCAACCCCTCCCACAAACTATAGGAAGAACACTGACATCCTCTTTCTTCATTTGGTCTGATACTGTAATGAGATATGAGAATAACCTTGGGAGACAGGAAGAAGGGCCATAGCCAGAGCAACGGTCAGTCAAGAGATATCTCAGCCCACAGAAGGAAGGGGGGCAGAGAAAGTGTCTCAGAAGGGACCCTCCCCTGTTCTCTGGAAAGCAAAAGCAAGGAAGGGGAGAAGGGCTTTCAGACTTGCAAACTTCTGTTACTGTAACCTTACAATGAAGATAGTGTTACTACTCATGGTTTTGGTGACTACCTCAAAGGGCTGACAGATACATACCATTGTAAAGTTTCATATCCTCTTCTGTAACATTTGCGTTGGCTCCCCACACCACCATTTTGTGGATCAGATCTGGATGTTTTGCAGCTGCAATGAGTGCGGTTATTCCACCATCACTCCATCCCAGCAAAGAGAACTTCTGAAACTTCAGTGCCTTGTTTAGCATAAGGAAACAGATTGGAAATAACTCATTTTCATGGATGAGGGGCTTGGCCTACAGTTAGCTGATTCTTCTGAAGCAACACCTTCCCACTGAAATCAAAGAGATTCAAAAATGGCTAAGCTGTGGCTACAATGGGGCCCACTAAATTTATTAAATAATATTAAATAATATTATATATTAATATAGAATAATTATATTAAATAATAATAATGACAACAATGACTAGCAGTGTTGTTTAGGTTGCAACAACCACTGGGCATTCAAATAATGGCAGGAGCCTTGTACTTAAATAAGTCTGCCCAGTTTGCATAAGAATGCAGTTTGAAATGGTCACTTAACACTAGTATTTACAGCAGTTTCAACAGCAAGAGGTCAGAAAGAAGTCTGTCTGGAAGCAGCAGTGGAAGGGGGGACCACTCATAAGGAGAGAGCATCACCTCTTTCACTGCTCTTGCAATAATTCTCTTGCCACTCTTCTGTCCACGTGAATAGCTAGAATACTGCCAATCATTACCAGTGCAGTAGCATATCCTCTAGACAGCCAGTTTGGTGTAAGTCCTCGACTTACAACGGCAATTGGGACTGGAATTTCTGTCACTAAGCAATGCCATCATAAAGTGTGAGTGCATAGTTTAGCGACAGTAATCCCTGTAGTCCCAGTTGCTGTTGTTAATCTAATCCCAAAGTTATTAGGGAAGGCAACTTCCTGCTGGCTTCCCACAATCAAAGTCAGTGGGGAAGCTGGCAGGAAGTTGCAAATCCCAGGATGGCAGGCAGGTAATTGGCTGCTGCCGGATGGGGGAGGGAGTGAGGAAGTGCAAGGGGGTGCATGAGAGGTGCAGTGAGGGTCAGGGTGTGTGTGCCAGGTGCAGCACAGATTGGGGAGGGTGTGTGAGGGAGCAAAGAGATACATGAGAGGCACGGTGCAATTTGAGACGGGTGCATGGAGGTGGGGCATGGGTCAGGGAGGGTGCGTGGGGATGTGTGAGTGGCTGGTATGAGTGCAGAGGGGCTAGGGAAGGGTGTGCAGGTGGGGGAGACTTACCCCAGCAACTTGCGACCTTCCCTGCCGGCTTTCCCACTGACTTGCAAATGCCAATCATGGATCTCGGAGCACTGCAACCAGTCATAAGTGCAAACTGGTTGCCAAGCTCCCAGATTACAATCAGGTGACTGTGGAGGTACTGGGATGGCCAGAACTCTGAGAACTGGTCGTAACCACCATTTGTTCAGCACCATCGTAACTTTGAATGGAGGCTGAGGACTACCTGTAGTGGTTAAGGTAGCAGGCTAGAAACCAGGAGACCGTGAGTTCTAGTCCCACCTTAGAAATAAAGCCAGTTAGGTGACCTTGGGCCAGTCACTGTCTAGGAAGGAAGCAATGGCAAGCCACTTCTGAAATATAGGTGGTCTTCTCTTAAAGAGTACTCATTCAGTGAGTATTCAAATTTGCAACGGTGCTGAACAAGTGGTACTTATGACCAATCCTGAGTTTTGGCTGTCGCAGCATCTGGTGGTCATATGATCCCGATCCAGGCACTCGGTGCCCAGCTCACAATTACAACATTGGAGCATCCCGCAGTCATGTGGTTGCCATTGGTGACTTTCTTTGCCAACTTCTGACAAGTAAAGTCAATGGTAAACCAGGAGGAGGTTGCAAATGGTGACCATGTGACATCCTTGTTTAATGACCTGCAATGATTCACTTAACAACAGCAACTGGGACCGTAGGAATTGCCGTTGCTGAGTATCGTGATCACATGACATTGTGCTTTATGACCATGTTGCTTAGCAATGACAATCCCAGTCCCAATGGCTGTCATTAACCAAGGACTACCTGTATTGTCAAAAAACTGCAGGGACTTTTCCAGGCAGTCACCAGGAATCAACACTGTCAAAGGTACAAAAAAAAAAATGTCCTCTAGGTTGCAACACTTCTTCTTTTTATGTCTGAATAAGAATAATGAGGACTTTTCCTTGAATGGAGTAAGTCAAGCAAAAACTGGAAAGGGCTACTATAGAAACATTCTGCTTCTGAACAGGTCCAGGTCTTCACTCTCATAAAGTTTCAAAGGTACAAACTTTGAGGTTCTACTTGCTTGTTTATTTTTATTTATTCATTTATTTATATTTCAAATTTGTCACCGTCCATCTTACTACAGAGTGACTCTGGGCGGTTTCCAGTAAAAGCAGAACAAACATTAATTAAAATAAAGATTAATTAATTAATTAAAATATGCTAGAAAACTAGCTTCCTATATGATACGTCCAAGAGGCTGATGTTAATTAGGTGTTAATAAACTCAGGGAGTGTCCTCAAGGCACCAGCCACCCCCAGTTATTCCCAGAGTTAATGTGCAAAATCCTCAGAAGTCAAAGGTTAAACACTTCTCAGAACTGGGTTTCACAGAAGCCAGAATGTATTTACCTGCATCAAGTCAATGGCATCTTTTGCATCTCTTTCAAAAAAGTCTGGAGGAAAATCTCTAACTGGGGGGATTGATTTTCCATATCCTCGAGGATCCCAGGCAACAACAGTAAAAATCTGCTTGTTCATATACTTCAGCTGTGGTTCAAAATCAGTCTGACTACTGCCTAAACCAATACACAAAAACAAACTGCTAGATCATCATAACAAGAGAGAAACTTGTTTTACACGTTCATGGACTGTATATAAAAGAAAAACTCCGTCTGAAAAGCATGATTAAATTAACTATCTTTATGTCTCTTATTTGACGATTAACAATGGTAACAGATTTTCTTCTTCCACAACACCAAGATCAATTTCATTTGCAAGCTATTGCCCAAGCATTGTAAAACGAACCAATTTTTCCTTGGCTTTCTCTTCACCAACTCACTACCACTGGCTGAGTGACTATAAAACATCAGTCTCTCCAGTGGGAACTTAAGCAGCGTTCTACCTGATGCACTTGGTAGGACAGCAGGAGGGAAAATGCTGGTTTCTTGAGCTGGATTCCAGGAGAACAGGTGGAGGGTTGGTTTTGTTGCTTGCAGTGTGTAATTGATGGATGTGGGGGACAGCAGTAGTTGTGGGAAGATTTCATACACCACACTAACATGGTGATTTCATAATACCATGCTGGATTGGGTTATCCAAAACCTTACAGAACTGTGTGAACACTTTCAAACTAATCAAAACTTTTTGATTAAATGATAGTAAAGGGTGTGTGTGTTGGTATTGAAGTCACATAATTTGCTTATAAAGACAATGTCTCCCTTAAATTAAGTTTACATCTAGTCAAATTATAAACGTGTCCATGTTGTTTGAACATGGTTTGAAATCTGAACCACTGAAAGTTGGCATCTGTAAAGAGTTGCTGGAAGGCTTGTAGGTTGCCTATTCCTGGTGTGGAGGATTTTTCATTCCTTTGCTGAGTATTATTTCCCCAAAAGTCTCCTCCAATGCTGGAATTCTATGTTCTCCAGCTAGTTCAGTGGGTGCGCAGTCAAGCACATTTTGAGGATCTTAGATTGGGAAAGGCTAATCCTGGGTCAAACATAACTAATTAGCATATCTACTTTATAGATGAAGAACACCAAGGCTGAGATTTAGTCAATAACTCCAACGTCAATCAGGGCAGGTAGAATTTTTCTTACAATTTTACTTGCCCTCATTTAGAACATAGTAGTCAGAAATCCTTGGAGATCTCCTCTTAATCATCCAGAAATAAACCAATACATCTTAATTCACCTTCTATCTAATTTGGATAGTAAATTAGCCTATTTATCTATCTAATTATTTTAGAATGATGCACTATTATAAAGGACTTCCGACAAATGTATTAACATACTCTTTTTGCATATACTGTACGTTCCAATTCAGTAGCATTGTACAAAGGCAAGAGATCCATACCTAACATGCCAGGGAATAGCAGGACGACATGATTCCCATTTCCAGTCTGTTGGTAGTGCAGGTGGACGCCATTCACTTCTACTTTAGCTGAGGTTATTGCAGTGCTAGAAGAAATAGCTTCAATTGTTCAATATATTCATATTCCATCTTTCCTCCCAATAGCATGCATAGTTCTCCCCTCTTCCCATTATATCTGCACAATAAGGCAACATACATGGCTCTTCTCCCTCCAAATGATATCCTCACAACGATCTAGTGAGGTAGGTTCAACTGAGGTATACTTTCATGACTAAGTTCTAGTCCAACTTTCCAACTCAGGTTTTTGCAATAAGGTATCTGTTAGATGTGTTTGAACTACACTTCCCAAAATTCCCAATGAGCAAACTCAACAGGAATTTTTGAGTTGCAATCTCAACACATTTTGTGGACATTAGGTTAGGAAAGGGTATTTTAACCACATACTAATCAATTGATTGACTGATTATGTGCCATCAAGCTAGTGTTGACTGTTAGTGACCACACAGAGAGACCTTCTCCTGGGTATTCTGTCCCCAACCTGGCCCTTCAGGTCTTCCAACAGTGTACCCATTGCTACTGTAACTGAACTGCTGTAACCACCTTGCTGCTTGCCATTCTAGTCTTCTCTTTCCTTCTATATTTCTTGGTTTCCCCCAAGTCCTTCTATGCTGCCTCATCATGGCTGGCTGGGTGGGGTGATGTTCCAGGGAGGGATGAGCAAAGAATGCTGGGAGTGTATGCCAAGAGTATATATTCTCATTAGGGTCACCCAAGGTGTGAAGGTCATCCCAGCTGCCCAGCTAAGGCAAGCAGACACCTATATTGGGCAGCAGTGATATAGGAACATGCTGGAGGTAGATGCTCACTTTGGTGACAATGGCAAAGACATTGACAAAGGTATTGCTTATAGAAGTAAGCTGACATCCACAGAAACAGTACATGAATGCATGGAGAAAATTATGCAAACAGAGAGAATTCGAGTTTCCTTCCTCCTGAAAAGAAATGCAAATTCCTTAGATAAAAGTTAGCATCTGGAATCACTGACCAAGCTTCCTGCTGTGCACACTGGTTTCTGCTATGTGTGCACTATGCAACTTTGGACGTTGCCTCTCAAGGGCAGAAACTAAGTCCCAGCTGCTGCATTGATGCTGGAAAAGGCCACAATATCCACTGAAGCCTTTTGCAAATAAGAGCTGTCTTGTTCTGAAGATCTGCATTTAGTTACACCAGGTTTTCTCAAGTAAACTTGCTGACAAGTTTCTTCCATGCTGTTAAAAATCAAGCACAGTCAGCAGAATTACATAATTTTCTCTCAAAGCTCAATTCCTTATCTCCCTGGTTACAAATGTTCCATTCTAATCAAAATTCAAAACCATCTTCAAAATTTGATTTCAGATACCGAACAAGTAGAAATTAATTAATTTCCATTAATTTGAATGGAAAATTCCAGAAACTGTTCTGAGGAATGATAATGCAAAACAAAACAAAAACCTCAAGGTTCATGTATATGTAATTTTAGTAAAGATTTCAAGAACCCTTTGCCTTTAATGAGTTCAGTCCTTATTAAACTGGAGAACCTTTCCTCAAATGAACTGAAATTGTCCTCGCTCAACCCCACTGAAATGAATTGAACATATGCAAATTAAATCTCATCAACTGCAATGATTGACTCTAAACACACTGAGTCCAGACCTGCAGATTGGCATAAAATGAAACTTCATTTGCTTAATTTCTACTAATATTGCTCAATCTTGACCATCCCTCCTTCTTTCCCTACAAAATCCTAACCCTAAATGGATAAAATCTTTTTTCACTCTGCTGAAAGAGCTTCAGAGTATAATTTTATTTTGTGAGATTTACAAAGTGTGGTGCAAAACAAAGGATAAAGAATATTCCCCTCTTATCTGGGATTAAATGAACACAATTAGAAAAATGTATTTAATCATCCTCTAATAGCTTCGTGTTCGCACGCTCTCTCTCTCTCTCTCTCTCACACACACACACACACATCCATTCTGCAGGCAGTTCAGTTCCAGGTTTTATTAAGTGAAAATCACATGGCATTTCTTTCTACAAAGTGCGTATATTCTGAATACAAAAGATCTGAGGGAAAAAACCCTCATCCACATTTGATCTGGAAATTCCTCCTACACAGATCGCCTACTTAGAGCTATCAATCCCACATGCCCTTAAAAATAGTATTGCTGTTTTAAATATTTTTAGTTATAGAAAATAATGCAATCTACTGTAGTCTTCTCCTATCTGATGTCCCCTCAGCACAATTAATTGTTGAGAAGGGTGAGACCTGTAGTTTAAATCATATGGAGGGATCCAGGTTGGGGAGGTGCAATGGGATATATAGTACACCCTGGAAATGTGTAGGAGTGGGTAGGTCCATTTCAAAAAAAGTTCCTTAATCCAGGGGAGAGGTGAAAGCATGAGAAAGAGACTCAGAGTAATTCTGCCTTCATCACTCTAAGACAGTATTTCTCAACCGTAGTCACTTGAAGATGTGTGGACTTCAACTCCCAGAATTCCCCAGCCGGCCATCTTCAAGTGGCCAAGGTTGAGAAACGCTGCTCTAGGAGAATTGCTCTGGCAAACTTTCATGGTTCTGTTACTCTACCCTACTAGCAAGAAAGTTCATTCCAGAGATCTAAGTGGTTCTTATATCCTGAGTTTCCAGCTCAAAACCCTCAGGGTCAAACAGAGAAGAGACTAATTATGACCCTGTCTGTTCTATAAGGGAGAGAACTATTCTCCCATTCAATTCAATGTTGAATTTCAGAGGGGACAGCAGGATTCTGTTGGCCAACCTTGCCTCCCTCAAACAAAAGGAATGAACAGAGCCTTCAGTACCTAAACGTCATGTGTATTAAGATTTCCAGGTGCAGTGAAGAGTTTAATGATATGCCCACAAATTCCTGCTCAGCACAACATATTTAAGCAGCTGCAGGAAAGACCTAACAGAGGTTTCTGCACAATAGGTTGAATAGATGTGTGGGAGATTTAGGGGATTGTGTGAAGCCAGGCCATTTTTTTTAACTCAACATATTGGATTAATACTGTACCCAGGTTAAGCATGCTGTGGGAACTGGTTGTACTTCATGGAGCTCTCCTTGCACTGGAGGAAGAGATTGAAGAGGTGACTTTTGTGATTTCCCCTTTCCCCTAAACCTCCTATATGCCACTATCGTGTATATAACAAATCTGACCTGCAGTATAATAGGAGACAAACTAATTTGCACATGGCTCACCATGGACAAAATCTACCCTACTTTTTTGTTAGGATTTTGCAAACAGTGTAAGATAGCTCTGAAAAGCAGCTTGGTTTAATCTGGTGTGGGAAGTACCAAAAAATCTTGTACATGGAGGCCTATTTTAACTGCAAACAATTTTGCAGCCCACCTGCAAATAAAGAAATCCTGATTTCTATAGAACTTGCTTCCCAATAATTATGCACAGGCACATAGCCTATTTTTCAAAACAACTATTTCAGCTTTATTATTATAATAAACCGGCCAAAGTTAGGCTTGAAGGCTGTCCTTTTCCAGATTTCTTAACTCGTTCAGAATTTTATTCTCCTAGATAGCTGCTCACATAAAAGATCGGGGGAGGGGGAGGAAAATAGATGCTGTTGTTCTTCCCCCACCCTTCCACCAAACGTTCCTGAAGCCTGTTGTGGGTGCTTTTCCGACTTACCAATGTATCTTTTAGTTTCACTCTTTAAAACGCGAGCTTTACCCTCCGTTAAAGAGAAGGCTGTCTACCGTATGAAGGCCTTAGAAGCCCTGATCTGATTCCTATCAGACTTCGTTCCACTCAAGACAAAGCCTGCGCGGGATCACAAGCAGTTAAGTCCTAGATGGCACACAAAAATTAACACACATACACCCCATGGCAAGATTGCCAGGTGCTCCAGTTGGACAGAAACTCTTTCTAGCCTTGCAATTAAGCCCCGCGTTCCTCTCGGGCCCTCTAAATTTATGGGCACAACCGCCTAACCTCGCCACTACAGCTCACCCACCCCCCTTCGCACCTCATCGATGTTTCGCCAAGTATTAAGCATTCACGGCTTTTTCGTGCGACTAACCACGCATGCGCGCTGGGGTTTCGGCCCCCTTGTTTGCGCTTCGAGGCTTGCAGCCGTTTCTTCGTCTCTCCACCTGTCCCGCGGGCACTTACCTATAGGAAGCCGTCGATCGCGGGACCGCTGCCAGCTGTGCGGAGCGGGAGAGTTGCGAGAAGAGGTGCCGCAGCCGCCGAAGCGCTGCGCCTGCGGGTCGAGTCATTTTCCTTCCCACGGTCTGTCTCGCGACTCCGCCTTGGGGCTGCTCTTTATCCGCTCCCGGGGAAGGTGGAGGCAAGGGGGAGGAATCGCAGTTAGCCTAATCTTTCCCCCCCGCCCGGGCAGGAGAGCCGTCCCACCTATGGTCCAGGAGGCAGACGGGCCGCAGTTCTGGACTTCTTGTCCGAGAAAGAGGGCCGCATTCTCCCTTTCTTCATCTTCCTGAAGTTCCGGGACGCTCAGCGACAAACCCAGGAGCAGAACCAAAGGAAGTACTCTGCAAAAGACACGTTGGTTTGCGTTGGCACCAATTTAGCAGGAACCCCATCAAGCAGGAGTAGAACCTCCATGTCCCAATATGGTGGGCCTGTTTCTGGAGTGCCACGTGTTCTAGCGGGGATTTGTAAACCATGGAAACGGAACATATTGGTTATATATAACATGTTGGTGGATCTTTGGTGTACTCTAACGTTTTGCTTCTCTATGTTCCTACCAGTGCTTACCAACAAACACTTATTTATATTCCCATGGTACACATAGCAGGCACAAGAGACAGTGCACACAAAGTACTAATATTCTCCATGCTCATAGTCACCTACAGCTTGACATGATAGAAAAATGATGTGTGTCTGCAGGGAATCATATTGCAAACCTCACCCTTTCGTACTTGGACCCCAACATTGGATGTAAGTACAGGTAGTCCTCGCTTAGAGACCACAATTGGGACTGGCAACTTGGTTGCGAAGTGAAACCACAATTGTGCTTAAGCTTTCCTTTCCTTTCCAGACCTGCAAAGGTCATAAATGTGAGGATTGGTTGTAAAGTTACTTTTTCCTCACTGTTAACTGCGAACAGTTGCTAAATGAGGACTACCTGTATAGAAGTTGCTGGTTTTATATTGTGGCATCACAGTGCTATCATTTGCCCCTCCTGTAGAAATCTGTGCCTATGCTCTCACGGGAATGAGCAGGAAATAACACAAGCCCTACAAAATAGTGAACAGAATTATGTGAATCCATGCGAATAGGTAGAACAACACAAATCTTTACTAATGCAGTAGCATATCCTCCAGAAAGCCATTTTGGTGCACTGGTTAAGGCACCAGGCTAGAAACTGGGAGACTGTGAGTTCTAGTCCCGCCTTGGGCACAAAGCCAACTGGATGACCTTGGGCCAGACACTCCCTCTCTGCCCGAAGAAGGCAATGGCAAACCACTTCTGAAAATCTTGCTGAGAAAACTGCAGGGACTTGCCTGTGGAGTCACCTAGAGTCAATATTAACTTGAAAGTGTGCACACAGACATAAACACACATGACAAGACTTGCTCCTGCTTTGGGCATTAGGCCACAGAACTAATTTCCTGATTCTGTTGCAGTTTCTTCCAATACATCTTCCTTTTGCATCAGGCCTTCCAAATTTCCTTTGCCATTTCAGAACAAAAGGGGAAAAACTTCCATGCTTCAATGGCAAAAGCAGTCCTTTCCAAAACATGCTGCTACTCTCATGTTTGATATTTGGGAGAATATTAATGCTCTTCTTTTCCTTCTGAGTAGCAACATTCGCTCCCATTCCTCACATTCTGCCTTTATATATAAGGAAATCACATGTGATCCTCTACTGTTCATCCTTGCTGAGATGATTGCTGAATCTGATGCTCATCAGCCCTTGCCCAACTCCCAGTCTACTGAGACTCCCGGTCTACTGGTAGCAGTGGCAGATTTTTACACACCTGAAGGAAAACGATAATTCAGTACTGACTTCTCTTTTTGAGAAGAGATTCTGGTTTATAGTAAGACTAGAACAGCCTTATGCCCATTTTCTGTATTTTTTTAAAAAAATTAAATTGTACAAATTCATTCAAAATCTGACATATTGTAAAACAGAGGAGTGTGCGTGAAATGGAAAAAATGTTGCATTTTGAACCTAGAAAAAAAGACCATAGCACTCTAGATGTTCTGATGAACCATTTCAGGCTAGCCATGGCTTGGCAGAACCCAGACCCAGAAGATTTTGATTGTCCTTGGATTGAGATGAAACAAATCCAGACAGGCATATGGGGCAAAACTAGTGAGTATCATTTCCTCTCTCCCATCATCAATTCCCAAACTGGTATATCCCACTGGCCAGCCCCCACCAATGTTCCCAGTGCTTTCCTTTGCCTCCTCCCCTCAGCCAGCACCATTGCCACTAATGGCCCAGCGTGGTGTATACCAAAATCTGGCCCAGCTGCTCTGGAGTCTTCCCAGAGCCCACCCGCCCTCTGCTCAGCCACTGCTGCTGCTATCCTTCCCCATCCTCACCCCCCTTCTTCATGGAAGAACCATGTTGTGGCCTGTGTCCAGAACAAAACAGCCCCATTTTGTTCCATGCATGGAGCATGTTTTGTATGTCCCTACTGTAAAGCATACTGTTAGGTTTGTAGCATTTTTTGGCATTAGGAATGGCTGCTATGAAAACCTCCCCTGAGATTGGCCATCAGTTTCTCTTTACCTCCCCTTTCTTTTTCTGCTTGCATACAGTAGCAGTCTGCTGGCAGCATTTGTAATGACCACCCAGTTCTTGTGGAAAAGTCAGTCTCCAGCTCTTTGACTTCTTATATGTTATTTCTTTCAAGAGTCCTGGCTTATTTTGACAAAGCTGTTGAGGAGATCTATCCGCTTGCAAGCAAAGAGGGCTCTGGCCAGCTTCCCCACTGTTGCCCCTTTGCTGCCTTCCTTCATCAGCCACCTCTGGAACATCTGGTAGACTTTTTCTTTGAGTCCATCCCGTTCATAGTCGTGGTCAATTTCGTCCAGCTCTGGGTCAGTGAAGCCCAGTTTACGAGCACAGTGTTTCCATTGTCTGGACAAGTTGTCTCTCACAAGGTTTAGGTGAATATCCGAAACTAGAGCAGTGCTCTCTGGTGGTAGAAAAAAGAAAAAATATTTATAGGTTTTTACAGAGATGTTCTTTGAGACAATGAAACCCCTTGATGGGTAAAACAATGAATGAGCAGGCCACTGGGGACTAGTTAGATGCCTGTTGCTAACGTTCAGTTTCTTTACAGATAGAATGAAAGACACTTCTCTACTTAGTGAGAAAGTTTCTCTATATGTGCAATAACAGAACTGCCTCCTATATCTGCACACAATAAAGGACCCCATCAGGTATTCCCATCATGTGGAGGTGCCCTCTGAAACATACATCAGAACCTGTGTGAAGATGCCTCCTGTGATGATTAAGTAAGATGGTAAGTAAGATGTGTGGCATGCAGACATGCTGTCATGACTAGCTGGCGTGACCAAGGATCCCTTTGCCTGCTCTGAAGCTGAAAAGGGTGTTTTCTGAACTTTTCTGGTGATAGAACAGCTTTGGTATGGTTTACTAAATTTGGGGCTACCAGATCAGGGCTGCAAAATCCCAGGTGACCATAGATTATAGGAGGAAGGCACAATCTTCTGTATCTCTTTATTGTCATCTTGTGGTCATTAGGACTTTGCAGGCCAGATAGAGCAGCAGCCCTATTAAAGTTGAATTATGGCCTGCCTGCAAGGACTGCAGGATGGCTTACATAGTACTATCCCATTAATCATTCCAACAGGGCTACAAAGAAAGGTAGCATAGAGTTTCATCTCCTTGACTAACAGCATTTGAATCTAAGTTCCTTCATTCAAATCTGCTCCAACACTTCCTCTGCTTCACTATATTAAAACTATATTTTGCTTACCTTGGAGTAAACTCATTTAACTAAATGGAAATACTTTTCAATGGATCTTTACAAGACTTTATTGTAACTTTCTCCAATTCATCTATTATAAATAGCTGGACATGAAATCTCTGTAAACATGATCAGCAAAATTGAAATATCAATGAAGAATGATTCTCCTATTACATTACTGGAATTTTTTGAAAATAATCTAAATAAAGGCGCAGATTTAAAAACAGTCTGGGATACAAGCAAAGCTTTTATTAGAGGTTATTTTATTCAATATAATATTGAACTGAAAAAAAAGCACAAATAAAGTAATAAGCTATTTTACAGGAGATTAAGAAAAAAGAACTAAAGACATTGTCGATTAAGACAAATATTTTA